ACTTGCAGGGGATACGAACGCGCAAGTAGGGCGTCTGAGCTCTTCAGAAGCTCAGTTGGGTGGTAATTGTGGGCTTAACTCCGAACGGACTGACAACGGCGAGCGTCTGCTGCAACTGTGTGCGGAGCACCAGTTGTTTCTTATTAGCACTGCTTTTAGACACAGTGGGCGCCGAAGTGCCACTTGGCGTCCACCTGTAGCTGGCCAGCGATGGACCCAAATTGACCACATAGCCATAGGTTACAGGTGGCGCTGTTCCATTCTCGATTGCCGCTCATACTGGAGTACCTGTGTTGACTCTGATCATGCCTTGGTGCGCTGTCGTTTCTCCGTGAACTTTACCGGAAGGCGCACAAAGCGTCTCCCCCGATTGGCAACGGAGAAATTGTCCCAGCCCTCGGTCAGGCAAGCCTTTCAAGAAGCACTGCATAGCGAACTCTCGCTGTCTTGTCCTAATGACACTGAACTTCAGTGGAATAGGATCTCGGCCGCTATGCACGACGCAGGAGCATCTGTTTGTGGCACTATCAGTAGTCACCGCACCAGTCACTGGATATCCGAGAGGTCCGTGAACCTGTTGGAAGCTAGAAGACACCTCCCGGCTGGTTCTGAACACAATGTGACCAGACGGGCTATTAGGCGTGAACTAAAGCGGAGCCTACGTGCTGACAATGAAGCCTGGTGGGCCAGTCGGGCTCAAGAAATGGAGGAGGCAGGAGCAGTAGACAATTACCGCAAGCTCTTCCAGCTAATCCGCACCACTGGTCCCAGAAAACCAGGCGTCGGTGAGACAATCAGAGACAGCGCGGGTGCGCTGATACACAATAAGGAGCGCCGTATGGCTCGTTGGGCTGAACACTTTGAAGATCAGTTCAGCTGGCCTCCTGCTCCCGGACCTTTTCCTACTCAGGTGATGCAGGACGTGCCATGGGCGGTTACTTTAGAGCCTCCTTCGGAGGCCGAAGTCCGAAACGCGATCATAGCCCTCAATCGTTTTCGTGCCGCTGGCCCGGATTCCCTACCACCTGCACTATTTAAGGATCGAGGTGAGGTCCTCTGCAGGGCACTGACCTTCCTATTCGAACGTATCTGGAACGAAGAGAGTGTGCCGGCTAATTGGAGTGAATCGATTATAGTGGCAATATACAAAAAGGGCAGTCGCACAGACTGTGCGAACCACAGGGGTATTAGCCTAACGCCAGTTGTGACAAAATTATTGGCCTCGATTCTCGTTCGTCGCCTCACTGCAGAACGGGAATCTCTGATTAGGGAAGAGCAGGCTGGTTTTCGTCCGGGAAGTGGCTGTATAGACCATATATTCACTTTGCAGCAGGTGCTAGAGCAGCGCCACGCATACCGCAGACCGTCAATAGCGGTGTTCCTCGATTTCAAGAGTGCGTTCGATTCAGTCGATCGATCGATTCTGTTCGAATTACTTGCGCGAAAAGGTGTTCCCACGAAATATGTGAACATCCTTCGTGCTCTGTACTCGAACGCTACAGGCCGTGTCAGGGTCTATGGTGTCCTATCGGATAGCTTTTCGACTACAAGTGGCGCTCGTCAGGGTTGTCCGATTTCCCCGTTTTTGTTCAATTTCGTCGTGGATTCTATCATGGAGTGTTCCCTTGCGGAATCTCACGATGTAGGCGTTGAATTGCTGCCTGGTGAAAGGTTAGTTGACCTAGATTATGCGGACTATATCATCTTGCTTTTCGACGATGTTAGGGCGGCACAATCAACCCTGAATAGCTTGTCCAGGGTGGTCCCATTATTTGGTATGCATTTCGCACCTTCAAAGTGCAAAGTGTTGCTGCAGGACCATCAGCCACTTGATGACCCATTGACGCTTGCTAACGAGGAACTCGAGGTGGTTGATGATTTCACTTATCTTGGCAGCTGCATCAGCAATGATGGGCGCATAGAAACTGACGTGAGCTCACACATTGCAAAAGCCAGAGCTGCCTTCTTGAACCTGCGTCCTCTTTGGCGAGAAGGGAGTTTCCCTTCGTCTGAAAGGTCGTGTATACAAGGCCACAGTGAGGGCCGTTCTGCTCTATGATAGTGAAACTTGGCCCCTTCGGTCTGAAGATCTGAGGCGCCTTCAAGTCTTTGATCATCGTTGTTTGCGAAGCATTGCTGGTGTCGGATGGCATCAGCGTATCCCCAACGATGATGTGCGTAGGCGAGTACTAGGTAGTGATAATCATGCTAGCACCCTAGAACAACAGATATCACTGAATAAGTTGCGTTGGCTCGGGCACGTACTACGCATGCCTGGTCACCGCTTACCTAGGAGGGCCTTGTTCAGTCTACCGGGTGTAGGATGGCTCAAGGCTCGAGGTGGACAGAAGTTGACTTGGCAGCGGGGAATGAAGTCACTGACAACCAAACTGGGTGCCGTTGGTCCGTCTCGCCTTCCGGGTTGGAGTCCACGTGACTCACCTTGTGCTTGGCTCGAGACTTTGCAGGACATGGCTCGCAGTAGACACCAGTGGCGCATCTGCTGCCGTCTTCTAATCGGATTGTCTGTTTAAAGTGTGTTTGGTGCTGAGTTATCTGCGGGGTAATGGCTGATTATGACGTGTTGCAGTGAAAGCCGCAAGGAAGCTGTCTCGCCGATGCCACCTTATCTTTGCACGATAGCCAGCTGTTTGTGATGGTATGTTGTTAACACAAGGTGTAGGCGCCTTGACCCAGAATGTTTGCTTAGGGCATTAAGGTTTTTAGGTAAGCCCCCCTTTCTCTCCCTCTTCTTATTCTTTATTCCATAGGTCCTCATGGTTGTATGGCAGCGAAGCATCAGTTCAAATGGCTGATGTACTGCTGTTGTTGTTGATGATGATGCTGTGGTCATAAGTTATATGGTAACGATCTACATCGTACGTCTCGGCTGCAGCCATTCGACGCTCCTAAACAATTGTCGCTATGTGTCGATTCCTAAGACACTGATGTATCATTACCGTTAGTATTACCTTCTTCTTAATCTACCCAGGAGATTGGCCTTGTCTAATTGAACTTCTAGTAGGTGCCTCTGCGCTTCCGCCTTCAATCCGGACAATACCTACGTCTTCATAATCGCAGGTACATTCAGTATAACTGATGAACACCCGGAAATTTAGCTATACTCAGTATCTTCACTAACATGTGGAGCGGGACATGAATTATCGACATCAGGATAATCGCTAGTCAGTTACTTGTCGGGATTGTTCACTTGCCACGGATTTTCCAGGGCGATTTCTCTTCGGATGCATGGTCCACCCTGGTCCCACGAAGACAAATCGTTGAGCATTGTGTTCTAAATTTTAAACTTCACAATTGATGGGTACTGTAAGCGGCTAAACGCTTGTAACCTTTGCTTCACGCGTCTCCAATGCACTGGAAACATACTCAATTATTTGCCGCCCTAGCATAGATCCGTAACAACAACTCATTTCACTCGGAAATTCCGCGCGCACGCCAAATACAAATAAGCTCATGGATGGATTGAACTTTTATCCTTTGATGCACCGGCTCTATAAGCGTCGTGCGAGTTAGTATTGGGCAGTTTGGCGAGATGGGATCATGTAATCTACCAATCGATTTCAAGGAGTAGAATGTAGGTAACAAAAGGGATAGTGGCAGCTTCGGAGCACTTTGAATTACCCGTCAGAGGACGCGGCAAAATGGGCGATGCTTCTTTTGCGAGAAACTGGGACACTTAAGCCGCAATGCCCAGCAACGCGCAGTACATTCTTTGTACCAAATAATAGTTACTAACTGTATTGTTCTCGTGTTGGAGTGTGCATACTTGGGGCTCTAAACAAAGGTGCGATTGAAGCGATAGTAGAGGTGATTGGAGCATCAGAGGTGTTTAATCGATACAGGAACCGCAGTTTCCCTGATCAACACCGTTGCAGACTGCCTGTCAGTTGCTGACGCTTTCCAGACTGAGTTCCAACCCTGCAAACCTTTCATTACCATACTTATCAACGGGATTCCTTCCAGGTTGCAGTTTGACACGGCCTCCCATACGACCATCATTACCAAGAGCATAACAGATCATTGTAATTCAGTTGATCAACTATCTATGGCGTCTGCACGACATCACTCTCGCCCTGAAGGGTAGAGTATACAATGCAACCGTACGTTCGACCCTACTGTACGGTTGTGAAACCTAGTCCCTTATATCAGCAGACATAAGCAGGCTAGTTACGTTCGACCACCGGTGCCTTCGCCGTTTGGCTCACATCTGGTGGGAACACCGCGTGGGCAACGAGCGTGTTCGACGCCTTGTTTACGGCATAGAAAAAGGAAATGAACCGCTCAGCACCATTCTTTCACGCACCACAGGCCGATGGTTCGGCCACGTGTTACGCATGTCAGCCCACCGGCTCCCGCGAGGTGCGTTGTTTGCGCGCTGGGAGTGTGGATGGACGAAGAGGAGGAGCGGCCAAGCAATGATTTGGTCCAGAGGAATGAAGGCTTCACTTCGAAGCTGACATCGGTTGGAGCGTCTCGGCCCCATGGTTGGAGTCTGAAAGACGATGAACACGTTTGGTTGGATATACTTGCTGACATGGCTAGGAGCCGACATCTTTGGCGTTCGTGCCAAGTCTCTTTTTCCCTCCCCCTCTAGCTTTCCCCTCCAGCAACGTTATCTAACCCTCTGCATAACGTGGTTTTAGCATTATGTTACCTTTTTTTAGCTTTTTTAGTTTCTGATGTTTAATCTCTTATTTTTGTCTTGCGACACGTTGCTGAGGTATGTTTCCCACTTCTAGCTAACGTGTATTGATGATAATGATGATGAGCCTTCAAGGTGAAATGCTCTCGTTGACCTTCTCTCATTGGCTAGCTATTTAACTTCGCACTGCTTCGCGCCAAACTTTACACGGCTGCTAGCGAGATGACCAACTCCGAAGGATGTTATGAGTAGGCTATCTTGACAATCTTATAGTCTATTAATCTTTGTTTATCCTCCAATCGTCATTTTTATATTCGTGTATTTTTCCATTTAATAGGTGGCCGCCGAACTGGCACTCAGAGATGAACGCGCTCTTTTGGCATCTCGCAAGCTTGTTCTACTCGTGGATTTAGATGAGACCGTCTTACACACCACCAATGACCCTCAAGCTTTCAACCATCAGGTTCGATATTGGTTTGTTCTCACACTTGCACTCGCAAACTTATTAATTATCCTTAACGTAACCTAGAATCAGGCAGTTGTATCTGACTGTTTTATTAAGCGGTGCTCTCTTAATGAGGTGACTTTAATTTGACATGACGGTTTGTCTTTCTCTTCAACCCATTGACTTATAGTGAGTATTGACCCCGGTTCTCTTGAGGCGTCAGAAGCACTTTGTATTCTGACCTCTAGGTTGGGGGGCCGGCACGTAGCCTTAAAGATCACATACCTTCCTTGTAATCCAAAGAGGCAGGTTCGAGCCTGCATAGGGATCGGGCGACCCTGGCAGTATCCTTAGCATGCGCGTGACTGATGGTGATTGCGCAGCAATGAGGCGTCGGCACTGTGTACCGGCGTACTGCTGTCGCCTTTCTAGGTTATATGTTGGAAATGAACTGACAACCATTTCTATAAAAGCGGATCGCTGCCATCTACCGTTGCCTTGCCATCAGGCTTTTGATTCACAAGCTTTGGTTGAGGCCCCTAATCGTTCTATCGTCTAGGTTAGGCCGCCCTGGTGGTATCTCAATCCACCTACAACCATGGCTATTTTCTGCAACTTCAACCGCATCGTGCATCGGTCTTCGCGCAACTTTAAATCGTCTTGTCTGCTGCATACATTAGCTCGGATAGTCGAAAACATGCTATTGCTAATGCCTCTCTCCTTTCCAACCAATTTCCTTCACTCCCCTCCCTACCCCGACTATTAAATCTCCCACTGTAATTCCCAGCTTAATTGACAGCTCTTGCAATACCACTGCAGTTCTATTATCTGCAGCTATCTTCCCGCGCCGCCCACTGGACGCTTACCGGCAACAACTTAAAAGGCCACGCTGTCCCGCTTTCCTGGCAGCGTTCAACCTTCGCACTCTAAGATAAATAAGTCAACAGGCTGTACTCTCATGTACGCATGTTGGACACACTGGATGTTGACGTGTTTTGCTTGCGCAGAACTAGGCTCAACGACCCTCACGGTGTTGTTGAATTAACTGCACCCGGCTTGTCATTTCGCTATTGATTGCACACATCCGGAAACGCTGATCCGACAATCACTGGTCAAGCTGGGGTGGGCGTCGTTCTCATCTCCAAGGGTGCGTCATCGTTAGTTGATTGGATTCCCGTGAGCAGCCGCTTGTGTGCAGCCCGTTTGACTATATCAACTTAGGTTGATTCACATAGTAGTACTAGACGCTGTTTGTGAGTTCTCCTTATGCCCCTATCAACTGCAGTTCTGGTGCTGCCAAGGACGCATTCTTTCGCGAACTGAACACGTTACTTCGCAATGTTACCAGTTCAGATAACGTTCTTATTGCTGGAGATATTAATACACAATTGGGTCGTCTGAGCTGCTCAGAATCTCAGCTAGGGGGTAAGTATGGACTAAACTCCGATCGGACGGACAACGGCGAGTGTCTGTTACAGCTGTGCGCGGAGCAGCGGTTGTGTTTTAGTAGCACCACTTTTAAACACAGTGGGCGCAATACAACTCTATGAACTCCTCTCCACACGATTTCTTGTTGCTCTGGCCGTCGCAGAGGATAATAAATGACCTCCTATCTGCTGCATCTAGCAGGGTGGATAGGGGTTTGGATGCTACTGCTCAGGCCTTCCCCTTTTTTCTTTTCTTTTCTACGCTTTTTCATCCTAATCGTCCCGCTCCAAATTCACTTTTATTCCTCCTGTTTTCAACCCCCCAATTCTTCACCCCCATCTCGCTTCACTAGTCGCTTGTCTTCTAGTCTCAACTCACACAATTGCAGGGCGTTTATTATTTTTTATTATTCTTCAACACTTGACCAATGTACAATTGGCAGTGCTACAACACATAGTTAACAAACACAAAAACGGCGGAAAAAGGGGTAGTCAGTGAAAGGATTTGGAAACTTTAGGAGGTTAATTTATTGTGTGGGCAGAGATCTTCCCGGTTGCCCAGGCTGAGGAAGAGGGTTGACTTAAGGGATCCCACTCCGAAACTTTGGTCTTAAGACCTAACCCGCAACGCAGCGGGCGTTGCTGGAGTCCAGTCGACAAGTTCATGTTCAACGAAACAGACAACGTCCGGTCGTCCGTTTCCCTTTGGAGTCCTCGATCCTCCCTAAGACTGATATGCCTCAACGTGCGCACTTTGCTACAGATTGGCCAACAGGCAGCACTTGCCCGAACCCTAGAGACCCTATCGATCGATATTTGCTGTTTACCAGAAATCCGCTTGCAAGATGCTTGCTTACCCTGCGATCCTCCACATGCAACACTGGCGGCACATTCTCATTGTGCCTTCTGGAGATGACGCAAGTTCAATTACCGGTCACGCTGGCGTCTGCATTGTTTTGATTACCCCAGTTGAAGCTGCCCTGATCGACTGAATCCCAGTCGACAGCCGGATATGCGCCGTTAGATTGGCTGTCTCGTTTCCTGAATTCCCCCTGTTACCTTGTGGGTAGTTTATTTAGCCAAAGGCTCGGCGTTTGGTCCCCTAAGTCATGTCGCTATTTCGGCTTGGGCAACCGGGTAGTATCACGCCCTCAGATAACCATGGACTGTTCTATAACATGCTCATTGGCTACCGTTTCTGCGTCTTACATTTATGCGACTTCATCACACGCCAGTTGTTTGTTTGCTAACAATCCTTACTTTCCGTTACCTGCTTCATGGATTCAAAAATGTGGCTGTGATTCCGGTTGCGCCGCGAACCATGGAGTTCAACCAATGACTCTACTTCGACCCCGATCCTCCTTCTGTCTGACGTGCTTCACCGTTTGGACACCCATGCAGATCGGACAGCAAGCTGGTCTAGCGCGCACTCTAGGGTCCCTCGATATTGACGTCTGTTTCCTTTCAGAAACCTGGTTGCAAGACCCCAACACTATGCTAACATTGATATCCCCCACTGACTACGAAGCCAGATACACCCTGCGTCTTTCTGGAGATCCAGAAGCAGCTTCAGCGGGCTTGACTGGTGTAGGTATAGCACTAAGTGGCAAGGCCGAGGCGGCACTACTGGACTGGTTCCTGATTAACAGCCGACTATGTACAGTTCGGCTTCGGGGTTCATATAGAATCAGCAAACGCCGTATGGAGAGACGCAGCTTGTTTGTGATCTCAGCGTACGCTCTAAGTGACTGCAGCAGTGGCTCGGTCAAGGACGAATTCTACCGGGAGCTGCATCAGCCCTTGACTAAAGCTAAAAAGTCGGATGTCGTTATCCTTTATATGGAATTTAATGCACGGGTTGGCCGCCTGTTACCATACGAATACCACCTTGGTGGTCACCACGCGCTCGATAAGGACCGCTCTGATAAAGGAGAGAGGCCTCTCACCTTTTGTTTCCCTCGAGCACTAACTTTAGGCCTACGAAGAAGCGTTCTGCAACGTGGCGTCCCCCTTCGTCAACACAGCCGTGGTCTCAAATTGACCACCTTCCACTCAGCTTCAGATGGCGTGGCAACGTATTGGACTGCAGGTCCTTTTGGTCCATTTTCGTCGACTCAGATCATGCAATCGTCTGTACGAAAATTTGCATGCATTTTGGAGGGTCCCGAAAAACGAGACACCACATGATTGATGTAAACAGATTAACTGATTCCTCTGTCTAGGCGAACTATCAGTCTTTGCTGGGATACACACTCAGTTGCAATCCACCGTAAGACATAGAGCAATACTTGACTTGTATACAGAAAGCGATGACCATTTCCGGACAGTCAAGCTGCGGTCTAGCTCGATGCCCCTTTAAATGCTTGGATCTCTGCTCGTTCTCTGAAGCTGTTCGATCGCCGCAAAGATATCCCAGCGGAATCAGCTTGCAACGAGCGGCGCCGTTCTGCCAACCGGCTGCTGAAGCAAAGCCTACGCAAGGATCGTGAGGCATGGTGGTCTGACCGTGCTTTAGCTTTGGAGACCGCTGTCCTTTCTGTCAACACTCGCAGGCTTTTCCAACTCATTCGGTCCATTGGCCTCAGGAAGCGTGGTATCAGTGAGGTCATTTGCGAGGTGGATGAGCCTCCAAACACCAACCAACAGAGGCGTTTAGACCGCTGGGTCGAACACTCACGCAATTCATCTGGCCTCCACCGTCCATCAGTACATGCAGTGTACCTTGTTGTCTACCCTGGTTCGTCCCACTGAATCCACCCAGTGGAGCGGGAGTCTGCCTCGGGATTCGACGTTTAAAGCTGTTCAAGGCTGCCGTCTCAGATGAACTTCCTCTGGAGCTGTTCAGATACAGCGGCGTGGCAATCATTAACCAGCTGACTTCGTTGTTCGCAAAAATCTGGCATGAATAGAAAATACCTTTCTCTTGGGGCGAGTCAAGTATTGCCCCGATTTTCAAGAAAGGCACTCGCACTTCATGTGTAAATCATCGCGGAATCTGTCTTATTTGGCATCCGCTCGGCTTTGTAGACTATCCACAATACGGGATTCACACCATGGTGAAGAACAAGCTGCTTTCCGTCCCGGTCGCGAATGCGTGGAGCAAATCTTCACGGTCCGCCAACTCTTCGAACATCACCACATTTATCACAGGCCCACTATCGTTGCATTTCCTGACAAGTGCTGTATTTTGATTCCATTGATCAACCTGCTTTATGGTGTTGCTTGCTAAAGAACGGGATACCAGAAAAGTATACCGCCATCTTACGTGCAATTTACCTTCATACCTCCGGCAGAGTGACGGTTTACGACAAGGTTTCCTCACTATTCGCTGTCAATAGCGGTGTGCGACAGGGATGCCCTATGTCCCCATTCCTCTTCAACTTCGCAATCGAAGACGTTCTGTCGAGTGCTCTAGAAGGTTTCCAACCTTTTGGCCTGGAACTTCTACTGGGTGAGCGCGCGACCGACTTAAATTATGCTGATGATATCGCCTTACTAGGTGACGATTCTCAGGATATGCAAATCATTCTGGATCGTTTAGTGGTTGAAGCATCTAAGTATGGCATGAGCTTCGCCCCATCGAAGTGTAAAGTACTGCTCAAGGGTTGGCTTTCACCTGCTCCTGTGCTCACTCTCGATGGTGCACAACTTGAACAGGTAGATAGTTTTGACTACCTTGGAAGCTGTGTTTCTGCTGACGGCACTATCAGCAAAGAAGTTTCTCTTCGCATCGCTAAAGTTCGATCAGCATTTGTCAATCTGAGGCACTTGTGGTCTCGTCGCGACGTCTCATTCTTCCTAAAGGTCGTGTTTGCAGTGCATCTATTCATTCATTATTGTTATATAGGAGCGAGTCTTGGCCAATTCGCATGGAAAACATGCGTTGTCTTTCTGTCTTCGCCAACAGTTGCTTAAGGAAGGTCGTTCGTTTTTGGTGGCAACATCGTGTTCACAGTAATGACGTCCGACGTAGCACCTTGGGGAATGCAAATATTCCCTTCAACCAACTGGTTTTGCTGCGCTAGTCGGAATGGCTAGGTCACGTCTTACGCATGGCATCTGAGCGTCTACCGCGTAGCGCTCTGTTCTCTCGTCAAGGACCTGGCTGGAGGCGACCGCGTGGTAGTCAGCCTTCCACTTGGTGACAGCACATGAAATCACTGACGTCGCCTCTAGCCGCCCTTGGACCCCTACGTCTTCCAGGATCAGGACCCAAAGATGCGGAGTGCCAATGGCTTACCACGCTTAAAGACATGGCCCGTAACCGGAACCAGTGGACGATTTGTGTACCGAATAGCTTTGCTTCACGTGTTTAATATCTCAAACGTCGAAAATGACAAACAAGGAAATATCGGCGCGTGAAAAGCTAACTGAAAATGTTTGTTCTGTTTTTGTCAAAATGTTCCTTTCTTCCTGCGTCACAGTAGCTGAAGTGTGTTGCTCACCTTCAACTACTATGGCACGATGACTATGACGCGGTGACTCTGCCTCTTATCCGCTAATCTCCATGCTTTTGCTTGGTTCTATGTCTACTTACTAGGCTGTTGTGATTACTACTGGTTCCAGGCTTCGGAGTCACGCGGGGACAGACGCTACCTGTTTATCATTTCGGCTAACGCCCCCCACAAACTGCGGCACTGATTTCGTGAAAGATGATTTCTATCACCATTTTAACTGCCTCCTTCATTACAGAAGTCCGGATACTGTAGTGCTTGTTTGTGGTCTATACGCCCGTCAGAAACTTGTCCTTGATGCGCTTCACCGGGCAGCCAACATGCTGTAGGCCAGTGGCCGAGTGGTCTGCAAGCCTGATTTGCATTCATAAGGTCACTGGTTCGTACCGGCGTAGGGGCGGGCGTCCTCGTAGCATACTCATCCCACGCGCGACTGGTTTGCACCTTTATTTATTCTCTCCTCCTTAATGGTCCACTCTCTATCTTGACCAAAACGACCTTTTTGCTTGATCGGTTTGTGCGTTTACGACCGTGGCGCGTTAAACATTTATTGATTTTATGCCTCGCCTCACGCATGGCGTTGATATGTGCTACAACTTTTGAAATACTCGTCCATGTTTACAGAACGTCACTCGTTATCGACTTCCTGGATCGCCCTTGGTGTACCATACAAGTTTTCGCCCGCACCTACATGCTGTCCTGGATCGTCTTGCAAAATACTACGAAATGCATATCTGCACTTTCGGCAATCGCGTGTATGCTCACCAGTTGGCCGGGATGATCGACCCAGATCGTCGATACTTTTCACATCGTATTTTGTCTAGAGATGAGTGTTTTAACCCGGTCACTAAGTCAGCAAACTTGAAGTGAGTTACTACACTGAGTGGTCCGGCTGTTTTTCTTACTCTCTGGTATCCACTCCACTTTGTACTACTTATTCATTTTCTCCCTCGAACCATTCAGACCAATACAGTCTCCGGATCGCACTTATTTGCTCTATTCTCTGAGCCACTTTGCGCTGAAATATTTCATACGGATCACGGTTCCATCAATTCTATCTGTTTTTACAACCTCCTATCCAAGCTTACAGTGCATCCTTATCGCATTTCAGTTACCTAACCCCCTGTGTTACCATGTTCGATAGAGCAATCTCTGAGGCGTCCAGTAATACCGGATTCTCTTATATACGGTGTTTTCTAAGGCAGCTGCAAAACAATTTTTGATCCATTGTTCCCCATCATTCGCATGACCTCGTGCACATCTCGCTTGTTTTTCAGGTTAGTCAGCAAATCGCTACAACCGATCGATCAGCTGACCCATCTGTCCTAGAAATCGTGTGCGCACGCATGTAGACAACATGTGACCGACACTAAGTCCTGTTTTAGTGCTGACTCCGCAAGTAACAGTGACCCTCGCAATCGGTACATGACCAGAAAATTGCAGCCAGCATATCCAACATGATGCAGTATTGGTTGTGCTCTTCAGCGAAATGTGATAAAGTCCTTACGTTGGGTATAACGTGTTCAGTCTGTATTCGATCATTTCATCTTAAATATATAAGAAAGCCCACCCAAGAAATGAGGCAGATAAACGAATCAGCCGACATTTTATCGAACTTGTTGGATCATTCCAGTTGTCCTCTGTTTATGTGTGCCCATGAAGAAACACGATGGACTGATTGAGACAATTACGCTTTTGATGAATATGGCCACACTCATTCCTCAACCAGCCAACTCATGCTTTGCCTCTAGTCCAAAAAAGCTAGCCAGGCGCTTTACCGCGCTATAGCGTATGTGTCTCCGAATCGTGTGTCTCATTTCACTCCTCTGGACGGACAAGCACCGAGCGTGTCTGCCTGCACTCGTTTCAATGGTTTAGCCCACATTAAGTCGGTAGCGATTAAGGCAGCTGCGCGCTTGAGTTGGTCCATCATAGAGAAAAGCTGAGCATCGTACGCATCCTTTGCCTTCACGGAAACGCCGGAGAGAACACTTCTGATATCGGCAGCAGCACCGAGCGAAATTAGGGTGCCGCAGCTTCCACAGCCAGCCAAAGCGTTAAAAGCTCTATCAATTACTACCCAAAGGCTGCAGCCAAAACAATCACTGCGTTTTAACTTGTGTGCATAATTGTTCCAGAACCGCAGTCTAGCCCCAGGGGAAGTTGATGGACGACCGTAACTAGTGGATGTCCATTTGTAATGCGATTGGTTCTTCGCTTGAGCCCACGACACGGACAGGGCTTTCGCGTCACCCAAATTCAGTGCATTACGGTGAACCCCGACTTCTCCGGATGACACTGAATTCCGCTGACGGCACAGCTGCCGTTCTACTGTCGTCAATTCGGCCCTGTAGCTCATCACTGAGATGAGCATACTTCCGGACATCCCTTGGAACGAACGTCCGAAAGAGAATAACAACCGTACGGAAGTTCGTACATTTGATTAAAAAGGGATGCATATTGTTTACTGAGTCCCTGAGCTTAAAACATCCTCCTCTGAGAAAGGAGAAGTACACCACCAGGTGCACTGGACTTCCATCCGCCAGGAATGCTCTCTAAACAATATCCTTGCTAACTAGTTGACAAGAATTCCAGTTTCACCCAACTACTAGGGGAAATTTCCCGTGCTCATGAAAGCAATGCTTCGGACTGAACTAACGACACTGCTTATCTTAGAAACCTGGTTTAAATTCCGCAAAAGCCTGCTCACAAAATTTCGGTTAATGACAGGGGATACACAGCCCTGCGTTACTGACGGCTCATTAGGGACGGCCAGGTGGTGAATTTTCTCCTAAATCAGCTGTGAAGCGATTTGTCTACTGGTAACCTCAGCATCCAATGTAATTCAACTATATACGGGTGATCACTGGGGCCCGGACCGCTACAAGCAATCATGTAACCAAGTTGAACCTCAAAGGCCAACGATAGATAAAACCGGCTAGTGGCTGACCCATCAACTGTTAGTACAATCTCTCTTCTTAACACAGTTTTCAGTGACTCATTTCTGGTTACAAGGAAACTGTGCTGCCTGTGCACTGACCCATAAGGCTTTATTAATAAATTGACCGGACTCCGTCATCGTCATGCCTCCGATCCTCGAGATGTCAATGATCACCGAAACGTGGTTGAGCTGTAATATTATCGATGTTGTGATCACGTTACCTAATGTATCACTTCTCCGGAACGACAGAACTGGTAGTGCAGAAGAGTGATCAAACCACTCTTCGTCATGAGCTCTTAGAAGATAGCCAGACCCGTGTCACTGACCTCTTTTGGTGCAAGCTATGGTTGATGGACGATGACTTATGCCTTGTGTCCGCATTTTATCGACCGCCCAAATCCACTCCGGAAATAGATCATAGACTAGTATCAGCTTTGCGCGATGTGCGAAATCAGAACTATAGCAATATCCTCATTGCAGCAGATTTCACACCCATTATCTGGGAACTCCAGCAACCGAGGTTGAACAGTTCAAAGTCTATCTGAAAGAGCTAATTTCTTGTACACTTATACAATCACGCCACCGTTCCCACCAGCTTCAGAACAGCCAATAAGCCATCGATGTTATGCCTAGTGGTCACCAACATGGAGCTCATGGTTAATGGGATAGATGTGTGGTATCCTTTGTGTTGAAGCGATCACGTGACTCAATCGTTCGATCTCATTTGTTACGCCACATATCCTAATGCCGAGCCCGGAATGATGCAATCCATAACGTATAACCACGTATTGTCAACATACGTTGAAGACGCAAATTGGGCATTCATGACTGAGTGCATCCCCAGATATCACCTGATAAGCATTTTTAAAAACCTTCCCGTCACTATTCGCTACAGCATCAGAGCCAAGAGCTTTCCATTGTCCTCTCAAGCCAAAGTTCTTTTTGAGAAGCCGAACAGGAAACCACATTGCTTTCAGGGATCGGACGTGGCGCGTTTACAAAAACAATTCCAGCCCAGGAAATTGGATATCGTGCGTAACTCAACACGACTCCTGTGTGCGTTTACTTTTGCTAACAAGTGGACACATCAAAAGGAGTTGACGAAGCGATTCATGTTCTGACAACAAGCTTCTTTACAAGCACTTCAGTAGACTACGCATGTTGCAGCGCGGTATCCCGCCACTCACTGCGGTTGGCAGGTACACACGTACAGCGAGAGAAGCGGCCCATGTCTTACATACTCAGTACTCGTCTACTTTGAAGTAGGCGTAACGCTAGAACGCTGTTCATGCTTATATCACTCTACTATTGGGTTTAATCAGCGTCACATTCAGTGCGGAAACAGTGCTGAAAAACTACCCTACTTGTGTACACACAGCTCTATTGGGGCGGATAACATTCACCCGAAAACCTGCAGCTGACAGCCATGCACTTAGCTGAACCACTTACTGTATTTTTCAGCGTTTTCTAGACGACAATATAGTTCCTTCAAAGTTGAAACGGGGTATCAAATCCCCCTACTCACAAAGAAGGTAGTCGATATGAGCCTGTCACTTACCGCCCGGTTAATACTCCTCCATGTACCCGCCAAGGTCATGGACCCGATCATTGCGAAGGCACTAGGAAGCTACGGCATCATTGTACCGATGCAGTAGGGTCACAAGATCACTAGCACTTTTACAATTAATGTTATATTTCTGACTCTAAACTACATTTTCTTTCTTGGTATAATAATAATAATAATGATAATAAATAATTGTAGTAACGACATGAGTCGATGTAACTCGATCCACCGCGTCTTGATGCACCGATCTTAGCTGATGAATTGAAATGAACTAAAGGATCTACGGCGTCGTTAATACCAAGGCCTAGATTTCATCAACCTAGGACTGTTCATAACGCAAAGGCGCCACAATGCTGCAGAATCCAGTTCATTTCAGCGATACTTTGGTTACACCACAGACTCTAGCCGAGCCAGTCAGTATTTTTGACGTTTGGTAGTGCATCACCTCATTGCGTCTGGTGTCCTGGGCTCGTCCTCCACCGTCACACCTGTGATAGGGTGTGTACCAAGTGTTTATGGCCTTTAAGATTCAGCGTTATTATGGCTAACCTCTAGATTTCTTTCTCTTCCGGTTTTTAACTACACTTGTTCTTCACCATATTTTCAGAGCATTGTTTCCACGTGGTCTTAATTTGGTTTGTATCATCGATGATCGTGGGGAGGTTTGGGATTGGTCTCCACATTTAATCCAAGTGAAGCCTTATCGGTGAGTTCCACTACTTTGTGATTGCACAATCCCTTTCACTCATATGCCGCCTAATCCCCTCGTGTTCCTTCCTTTTAGTTACTTTCATGATGCTCTCGATGTACACACTTTTCCATGGCCTACCTCTCCTCCCATCACAACCACAACCACCGAGGGTTTTTCACCAGAAGATTGCACATCCAGTGTGTGTACTACCCCTTTATCGGACGGAGTTACTACCGAATCTGTTCGACCAGTTAACGCTAGCATTCTGCCGACTGGAGAAGAACATAGTGCTGAATCAGCGCTTCATCCTCTAGTTACTGTAACTTTCTCTGAACCTGTTCAAGAGGGAGGCGATAAGCATTCTTTTGAAAAGGCGGAAACTCAACTTGCGTAAGCCTTTTTGTTTCATCATGTGGTCTTGTGCCTTCTATAGATTGTGTTTATCCATCCCTTCCATCTTCTAAACACGTTGAGCACAATTCACTCATTTTTGCACATGCGTTTTTCTATATGCATTGAAATTGTGTTAGCCGGACCTCAGCCCATTCCAGTCGTTATCTTTTGTATCACCTTGCGGTGATTGATCTCCACTGCATTGCTTGTTCCCCTCCCCCCCCACTCCCCGATAATGAACTCGGCGCATCCCCTACACATTGACCCAGCAATATCTATCAATGCATCCTACCAGACTCCTTCGATCCACTTGTTTTTCTGGCCACATTTGCCTTTAGCTTTGTTAGTCGACTGCACTCACATTCCCTTGGTGCTGCCACTACAATCATTCGCTTTGTCTATGCACCCTCAGAGTGACGTAAATTGCACCATGTGTCTACATGTAGCAGCTCTTTCAGGACGAAATTTTCGGTAGAATCTTCACACCAAAGTACAGCGCGATTTATGGACAGGTTTCTGCGTATTGTTGAGTGCTGACCACAAAACGTACTAATATACAGCATCATGACGGATTAATATTAGAGTGCTGCCTATCCGAAAACGCCGCACTCCACAACCTGTTCCAACTTGCTTAATCTCACCAGGCAGACATAGCGGATACTACAACCCCCGGGGCGATCGGGATGTTAGCCGGAACTTCTACTCCTAAGCCACCAAGTCACGTCGGGCAACGCTTGTCACAACAGTTCCTGACTGATTGGAGGGGTACTTTTGAAGCTTTCTACCAGTGTAGAGTCATACTAACAAGCGCGTCATTATGCACCCACAAACTGGAGTCAGTCTGTTTGATTGCGGCTGCTTCAGCGTATCGCAGAACGCATGTGTTATTCATACTTAAGTCACGGGACATGCGCTTGAGGTCCACGTTATGGCCTCATTGGAGCAGCGAGCCAGATAGACTGGTCTTTACCACAGGATTCATCTATTGAAACCTGTTGGACTATCATTAAAGAGGGAGTGAAATCGTTGTGCGCCCGATTTGTACCCCTCAAATTTCGGAAAGTTGGGCCAGTCAAACCACATTGGTTCGACAAAGAGTACAACAAACTGGCCCGACGACGACGCAGACTATGGAACAAATTTGTGTTATCTGGCTCTGATGAAGACTACAATGCGTATAAGGTACAGCGAAATCGCTGTAACAACGCGAAAACAAGAAAACGCAGAAGCTTCGAAGAGGAGCTTGCAACCGCCGCAAAAACTGCCCCCAAGAGGATCTTCGCATACGTGAAGCTGCGCCTAAGACCTGTAGCCAATGTCCCGTGTTAGAAGGCTCAGAAGGGCAGCCGCTAACCTCGAGTACAGATCGTGCGTCCGCATTGGCGACGCACTTCGCCTCCGTATTTGCAAGTGACCAGGTGTCTGTAACGAGTTCGACGAGTACCGCTCCAGCCGAACTTAACAGCCTGGACTGCAATATTGAGGATGTGCGCAAGCTTTTAGCAAATCTTGACGGGACAGCCTGCTGGGCCAGATGGTATACACCCACTGATCCTCAAATCCCTATCGGCCATCATCGTGCCTTCTGTAACTGAACTGTTTAACAAGTCACTATCCACTGGACTGTTACCGGACGACTGGAAATGCTCAGTCGTAAAGCCCATACCGAAAGGTGGTAACCCAAGCAAAGTGGATAACTAACGGCCGATCTGCCTGTCCGCTGTTTTGGCAAAGACGCTCGAGAAGATCGTGAAGAAGAGCCTTCTGCAGCTTCTCTAATCGAAAAACTTGTTGACCTGCACACAGCATGGTTTCATGAAAGGTCGCTCGTGCGTCACCAACCTGCTGTTGACAAGGCACGAATGGTTACAAGCGCTGAACCAAGGCCAATCGGTCGATGTCATTTACATTGACTTCAGTAAGGCTTTTGACAAGGTTAACCATGCAATGCTCCTTGACAGGCTGAGGATGTGCGGTGTTGGTGGTTCGCTGCACAAATGGATCAGAAATTTCCTTGTTGATCGAAAATGGAGGGTCTTGGTGGACAACCATCAAGCAGCGGCGTGCCCCAAGGCACTGTACTGGGGCCGATATTGTTTCTGATCCATGTAAACGACATGCCTCAGCTACTCCAATCACCTTGTGCGTTGTTCGCAGATGACTTGAAGGTGTGGAGAGTAATCCGCACACTCAATGATTGTGATTTACTTCAGCAGGACCTCGACCGCCTCTCGACATGGTCTGCAGTGGTTAACCTTCCGATCAACCCTGCCAAGTCGCAATTCATGAGGTTGGGTAAGTGTGATCACGGCCGAACGTACACAGTGGCTGGTCAACCGTTGCATCCCACGTCTTTCGTGCGCGACCTCGGTGTGCTCTCACGCTGCGACCAGAAGTCCATTGACAACACGAATATGCTGTACCAAAACAGCCTTCGGATGCTTTGGGCCCTCAGGCGTAGCTTCAGCAATTGGTCCGAAGAGATTGCTACTCGCCTCTTCGTCTCGATAATACGACCAATGCTAGAGTACGGCTCTCCCGCATATTATCCCATCACGCTGGGCGAGGTAGAAGAGCTTGAGCGGGTGCAGCATACAGCCACCAGGCTGATTCCCAACTTACGAGGTATGCCATATGAAGATCGATGTAAGAAACTAGGGCTGTACACCCTAGCTTATCGTCGGCTGAGGGTTGACCTCATCATGACGCACTGGATGTTACATCTGAGTGATTACCCCATGTTGAGACAACTGCTTCATCTGCGCACACCAAGCTGCACGCGAGGACACCGGTATAAACTTATCGTACCGAAGTTGAAGCGGGTCGCTCACCAACTCTGTTTCGAACGCAGAGTGTTGAATGTATGGAATGACCTGCCGCAGCACATAGTAGAGGCGAACTCAGTGTCCGAATTTAAGAAGCTTCTAGACAAACACTTTGCAGAGGCAAAATATAGACAGCGAAACGATAAATAAGGCGTATATGTCCAAGAGCGACGAATGATGCAGCTACACAGAGAACACTCTACTCGCTGCTTCGAACCAGTATTCAGTGTTTGTCGGCATCTATCGGGCGAATGACTATGTTAGCGTCTTATACGGCAGACCGCTTACGCTCTTTGGGTGTGCGCCTGCGTTTGTGGATGGGTTTATTTCGAAACGTGGTTCCTAACTCACATTTGGCTGTGCTCCGCGATTCTCACCCATAACTGGAGCTCTGTTATGCCTGTGTGTGGCCGTGCAATCACATGTTAATTGGTAAGCAGTGTTACTTACTGAGCAGAGGTAGTGTCGGTTGCGTACGACAATGCGGGTTGCGGAGCATTGTACACCGCGGATTTCAAGCATCACATATGACACGATCGCCATCATCTGCCCACCATCTGCTAACACTGTGTGCACCTCACGCGCATGATCGGCATGGTCTACACTTCGAATAAGACTCATATTCCGCAGTACGCTGAAATGGTCGGGATTAAACGACTTGACCTCATTTTGTGCGCGTTTATCACAGTGGCTCTATCCTGGTAGTAACTCGTTCGACATATGGTCAGTTGACAATATTGTGTGTGTATATTTGTATACAAATTTTCGTAACTTTTCTATCTCAACTGTACTAACTCTCATGATGCTTTATATATGCATGTGTTCCGTAGTGTGCACTTATCAATAGATTAGTCGAAAGACCTCGGCGTTTCAACTTTTCTTAATAGCTATTTATGAATGAAGGATGGGACAGTGTGCGGCCACTTTTCCATTTAAATGCGGCATAGCATTTTGATCACTTTTTCGATGTACTACAATATTATCATCCATCAGATAACATGAAAGTGCAACATGGTGCGCCAATGATTTCCTAAGAATCCCTTCTCGTCTGTGTACGCTTGGCGGCTCATTCGACTCGCCCTACTGTCCAGTGAGGTTCTATGGTCCCCATGAAATTACCGCACTTAGTCCGTTATTCTTCCTTACTTATGCACCAACCCTTTTACATCAACATAATTATATTGTCCAGATCGGTCCGCTTATCTAAGTGCCCACCATCCGGAACCGGAATCTAACAGCCAGTGTCAACTCACAGTCTACACAAGTTAGGGCTTGGCCCCTCTCATGAATTCCTTGAATATTACGCACCGGCGTCCGCTGGGGTCACCATGCACCTTGTTTGGGTATAGCTCATTGAGTGGAAAACTATAATACAAAATAGATTTTTGGTTGCCCGTTTGTTCAGCGCGGCCTCAGTTGCTTAGTCTTAACTGATTATTGGACTGGCGTATCATATTTTCCTTAACTCTTCTCTATTCAGAATGTCCAGTGCGAGTTTTGAGATTGACAACCAAGCGGACAGTAACGTAGCAGCAGTGAGTTTGGAGAAAAGTGACGAGGAACAATCTGCTTTGTCAGCGGATTTCCTTCCACCTTCCTGCTCACCTGAAGATCGTACGCCAAAGATTTCGGGGACACCGGATGATGACTATTTGCTGCGTTTGCAAGAGATTCTGATCACATTGCACCGGCGCTACTATCAGGAATATGATCAGTGGCGCGCTAGGCATCCTTTCGAGAGTGACAAGTTTTCTCCGGCTGATCCCCGCAGGTAAGAATTTACTTGGCCTACTCTCTGACTTACTTAAAACAAATGCACTGCCAATTTCAGTCTGTGAGTTCCAGTGTTTTGTCTTCGCAGTGCCTGCGTTGATTGACGGCTAATAAGACGATTTCTCTAGGTCTATCCGCTTCTCACTATATCCATTGAATCTGGTTGGCACGGTCTCATTTACTTGTAGCAACCATTACCTTGTCTTGAAAGGGTGTAATTGTGCAGGAATGAATGACTGTGAGAACGAACCTTTTTGACTGTGTTCATTTCAAGTGTGCCTCAACGTTTTGCTGTCGAGTCGTCACCAACTGTCACATACTGCGCAGACAGCCAAGTCAGTCGGACTTGGGCCTCCTGCTGCAACATGGACACTAATATGCCAACCTGTTCGCTTACCCAAGTTCGCTAAAGTTTTTCATCATCAGTCCAAAGGGTTGCTTCATATATGGTATATCCTTTGGCTTTTCCCAACCCTCTTATTATTTACCACAGTGATCAATTGTCAGCTTCTCCGTCAATATCTTCATCTCATTCATCCCCTGCCACTTCTAATTGTCCTTCGTCTGAGCGGTCACATCGCTCGGCGTTGCCCAATGTGGCTGATGTCATTGCTGACCTTCGGGCTGCTGTTCTTGGACCTAGTTGTCATGTCACTCTGTCCGGTTTAGCCCCTGTCAAGTATCATGACCGTTCTGTCGCTGGCCGCATGGTTCGTGGGCTCGGGGCCGTGCTTCACAATGCTCTTCGTCTACCCCCGGCGTCGACCACCGTTGTGTCTATGGAGAAAGTTGCTGTTGAATCCACACCTCACCCGCCTGAGGATGCGACTGGTTCCAAAGAAGTATATTCTAATAAGCAGTATGTTGTCTGTTTTACATTTCCTCCAGTCTCTTTCTTGAACGTCTACTAGCCATTTCCCAGTTCGTTCCCTAACAAAACCGATACATCATCCCACTTGCCACTTTCTGTTCTATCTCCAGTCAGGCTGTTGTATTCCACCGTTACACTTTTACCTAATTTTTCACTTTTTGCCCGGACATTCTCTTGGAATATGAACACGTGCTATCGCTAGCGTTACTTCCGAATTGTCACTGCAGTTAGTACCATGCTCACAGAACTTGTCACATTAATCGGTTTTAATTGTCCCTCAATAGCCATATGCGTTTTCAAAAATGCTCTTCCCTACTATAACTGAGGGTGATCCGGTTCCTTTTATCATGACAGCAGTGTCGCTGACGTTCTCCTTCGTTTATTTGTATGGTTGACTCGCTGGCGCGGTTCCTGGAAAACGTTTGCTCACACCTGTTTTGTAACATTAACTGAATCCACGCCTAATATTCCATCCCACACACTCGTTAGTAGCACGTATTTCCATCCGCTTTCATAATCTTCTGAGCCTCATCAAGACGTGGATTTTTTGAGTTTTCAAGACGATAGACATTGGTGTGTTTCTTAACCTCCGCTTTATGTCTCTAGTTTGGATAGGATATTTAACAAAGTGACACGGTGTGTGTGTGTGTATGTGGAGAGAGTAGAAAGAGGTACTTGTGATCCCACTAATACTGCGCCGGTTAGGCGAATTTGCTGCTCATAGAAGGCGTTCACAATCCAGTACCCTATTCCCATCTTGTTATTTTTTTCTCGTTTTTCTTATTTAGTTTGCAGTCGCTTAGTTTGACGACTCATACCTACCTGTCCTATCCGTCATTGTTGTGTTGTGTTTTATTCTACTATTTCTGTATCTTCGTTTGAATCCCAAGGTTTCTGATGGCATTATGTCTATTCGTAGACTTTTGCATATATATATATATATATATATATATATATATATATATATATATATATATTCTATTTTCGCCTACACGTTGATGAGTCACGGGCCACAGAGCCATTTGTGTTCACTCGATATCTTTTGTACGTTCTTACTACGCAATAGGTTTTTTAACATTTGAAAACTGACACCGACACAAGCGTTGTCGTAACTGGCAATGGTTTTAAGTGCGTCTTTTGAGCTAAGCATTGAAACTTTATTATCGGTGATTCGCATGAAACGCCGGCATGTACGTCGATGTACCAACTAACTCTGCAGCAGTAAATGTGTCACAGAGTGGCAGTTATTCTTCAATCATTTCTCTCCAACTGACATTTTCTTCTAACTGCAGCTTGCCAACGGCTAACGGTCCGCTCATTTGTGATTAGTTTGGTGTGGAGGGATAACTCCAACTACCGGTCGGATTGAGAGTTTTTTTTCTATCTGCGTGCGTGTGCGGTGACTCTTTTCCCCTTTAGTATCACTAGAACTGTTAGACAGGTTTGCCAAGCTCGTTCGGCCCTCCATAGACGAGAGCCTGGAGACTTCTGGGAAACGCAATCCTACGGCCTCGAACCGCCTTGGGTACTCGGAGTACGCAGATGACGTAGGTGTGCTCTGTGAGTTCTCCTATACCGGGCGGTGCCCTCCCACCATCAAAGCCAATTCGGACACTCGTGCTCTACGCAGTTTAACTGTTTGTTTATTACCCTTAGCCACTTTTCTCCCATAGCTAGGGTTTAAAGGACGTGGGTTTTCTACCTCTCCTCAACGTCCGAAGAGAGTTGTGAGACTGAGTTGATCTGATCCCTACTTATCGACCTGCCAGGTATGAGTGACACTGGAGGCACTTGGGAGTTTCCGCCCATCGTAATTCGATGGGTCATAGAGGTACGCAAGCCATCGCACCACTTTGAGGTCCAGTCTCGTCACGCTTTTTCTATTACTAATCTCGGTCTTATTTTCCGGCGGTCTATTCTATATTTCTAACATTTTCCCCTTATGATATCTATGCATTATTTCATCAACGCCTTCTAATGAGCGCGCGTTTTACATACTTTGTTCTGACACTACAATTTGTTCAGTTTTCAAGTCATCTTTCCCCTCATTGAGATCTGATCTCATCATCATCGCTTCAGGTGGCCGCTCGAACTTCCTCCACTGAATATTTATACCACTCACCTGGTTGCTTGTCGCCGTGGTACACAGAAACACATCGCGGCTGTTGATTTTGTTCGAACGGCGAAACTGGATCCACCTTCTTTGCACATTGTTTCTCCTCAGTGGCTTTGGGATTGCCATTTCTATTGGAAACATCTACCTGAATCTGATTACCCTTTAGTCCACGATTTTCATCCGAGTGAATTCGACCCAGAGATTGACCCTGTACCTGGAACTCTCCGCTATGCCAGGCGTCAGCGGCGCTACTATGCTGAACGTAGTTTCCAACCGCAGCTCACGCACTCTTCTTCACTTGGTGATGCCGCCCATGCTCATTTTCCGCGTCAAGTTCAATCACATTCGGAAAGGCGTCATCACCGCGTCCGTCGTCACAAATCGGATCATCAGTCACCAAAGTGGAAGTCCGCTTACAAGTATTTTCTTTTTGAGGTTACAGTGGAGTATACTTATTGAAAAGTGAAAAAGTTCCATCCAACTTGGAATGGTAATGCGGAAGATTGTTGTCGCTATTTACGCCACTATAGACCCATTACGCTTTGTGGTTCATTTTATCTCAAATGCTCTTGTTTGACTCGATGCCCTACATGATCACGAAGCGATGACTCACATTGTCGATATCTTCATTCCCTCTTATTGACTCGGTTATCTCCCGTCTGTACATGCCATTTAGGACTGCCTTACTAACACCACTGCTAGCCGGACTTAGCTTTGACGTACCATTTTTATGTGAAACACTTGTACTCATGGTTATATTTGGTGCTGCCCAGTGGAAAACGCAACACTCCATGATCGATGTCGAACTTGATTGATCTTACCAGATTCGCGACTGTCTGCTATCTAAATGACTGAGTCAAATCTTTATTCTCAACGTTGCGAAATCAAACAAACTCGGAACTGATCGTGAAGTGTAGCCTTTTCTCCGCCGGACAACTCCTGATATCCCCATCTGCTTCAGTTAGTGTCCCATTGCGAACTGCGATCCGCAATACGAATTGCGTATCACAAGCCGGCCCTTGGCCGAATGGATCACACTCTCCTACCTTGTAATACGGAGGTTACGAGGACATGGCGACCTTCGCAGTATTCTAATGCCACGCGTACAAACCGCCTGTGTTTTCTTAGTTCTATCCGTTCCAAAACACTATGGTTGGTGAATACACGCATTCAGATGCACCGTTTAGTTTTGTGAACGCGTGCACATCTCAGCGCCTTAGACATAGGAAAGGCCACAGTAGTTTATGTTGTCTTACTACTGATTCCTTGATATCTTGATTCAGCACTTAATAACTTACTCGAATGTCGATCGCCGGATTTGTCTTCCCTGGCTTTCCCTACATCCATGTGAATTCACTTCTACTCCACCATACCGCGGAAGTAACCGTTTCGTCTTTTTTCGATACTCTGCGCACCTCTTTACGTTTAACGGATCACATCTCTTAGCAACATTCCTTCGAACTCATATGCACTAAACACTGTGATGCATTATATCTATCCACACCAAATCGCGATGTTCGCGTCCGGAGCGTTGTGCGCCCTTATGTCACTTCTGCCATCTAGAGCGGTGACAGTTGGTCCAACTGCTTATGCTTATGCATTCTTTTCTTTGTCTTCATTGCGTTCTCTGGAGGCGGATAATTTACGAGGAAAATGATACACGCAGTTCACTAATGCTTTTACCGTTATTTAGCTGCTTGGGATCGCCCTCGGTTTCATGGGGATGCAGTAGCTCCCAAGGACCACCCCGCAGCATCGGTGGCTAGGACCCTGGAGTTTGAACTCAAACTCCAGACCGCCACATCTCTAGACCCTACTTCCTGTCAACTACGCGAAGCAACGGGCAATCCTTCTATGCGATACATTTTCACGATTACAGCAAGCGTGAGAATTCATTCTATCACTGGGTCATAGACTAGTTTGTTTAGGCCTTCGAATATTGGGTTGGCTTCTAAGTTCTCGCGGTTTTTTTTAAAATTTGAACATTCCCCATGTAACTAAATGTTTTGGCATAATGTTATAAATCATTCGAAAGAGGATGTTTTGTACTATTTTGTTCGAGTTATTTTATGTTGATTTCTGTTAATTGTCAAATCATTAAACTGGAATGTCAAATTTAGGAATATTAGCCTTTTCGACACCTTTTTGCTTTTGAGCAAGCAAATTTATGCTTGTATGTAGAGGGTGACATAGCTCAAGGAACCGCTCGTGATTGGTATTGTAAAACGTGCGGCCCTCCGGCAGAAAGAACAACAGGTGGCGGCGACACGAAAATCTTTATTGGCGAGAATTGCTTTCTTTTTATATCAGATATGACCATTTTCTGCGCCCGTTTCTATTCGGCTACTACACTTTCATGCATTTGTCTCCATTTGCCAGTGTCCTTTGATCCTGGGCGTTTCGCCTCCAATCGTTCGGTCGTAATTCGTCCATGGCATTTGCTACAATTGGTTCCCCATGCTGTGTCTTGACGATCAAAAACCAATCGGCCGATGGGTTTCGGTTCAGTGCCTGCTCTTTCTGGCCAATGGACGGTCGTTCGCGTACCGGATTGACGTGACGCTGATTGGTCAGGCGTCTGATGCAATTCCTCGATCCCCTTAACGTCGCTTACTCGTTTGCGCGCCGTCTCGGGTTTTGATTGGATATTCGGACCACGCTTGTTTGCCAGACGCTTTGCCGAGCCGTTGGTCTGTTCGTCCGATCGGTAGCTTGTGTGCGCCACTGGTTGGCGGTGCCGCGAACTGATTGCGATCTCCGATTGTGTTGCCGATTGGTGGAAACCAGTTCGCGCTGTTGGCTGGCGGTTTGGCACGTACGCTACCATCACATCCTTCCTTTTTTCGTTTTTTGTAGTCCGATTACGTAAGCGCTGTATCGCCTTCCACTGCGTGTAGTCTTGTGGTCGTGTGCTGCCGTATCCACCGAAATGTCCGGCTGCGTTGGCTGCTTCGCACGATGCCGTGCTTGTTCACCACGTTGTCTCCTTAACTGCACCCGGTTGCGTCGAAATAGACTATCCCCAACTCTTACGTCGTAGCTTCGTTCGCCTTTGAGACCTTCTACTCGCCCTCTCCTCCAAGACCCGTTAGCTCCCGGTGTCGGCGCGACCCAGACCTCGTCTCCGGGCAACAGGCGTGGAAGCTGCTTCGTTCCGCGATCGTAATATTTCTTTTGTCGAAGCATGCGCTCACGCAAGCGCTCATACATCAAGCTCTGCGATGGTATTTCAGGCTGCAGCAGAGTATTGGCGATCGGCAACAGGGTTCTTGTCCTACGGCCAAACAGACGTTGCGCTGGACTACATCCAATTTCGGCAGATGGCATGTTCCTTCGTTCTAACAACATGATGTAAGGATCTTCTTTGGTCTCCTTGGCTTTGGTGAGTAACTTCTTTGCTTCCTTCACGGCTGACTCAGCTTTTCCATTTGACTGACTGTGGTAAGGGCTGGTTAAACGATGAAGGAACTCCCACTTTTCGCTGAAACTCCGAAATTCGGCGCTGTTGAATTGGGGGCCATTGTCGGACACTACCTCTTCCGGTATCCCATGTCGCGCAAACTGCGATCGTAGCTTGTTTATCACGGCCTGTGTGCTAGTAGACGTGAGAGCATCAATCTCGAAATAGTCGCTAAAGTAATCGACAGCGATCAGGTAATTCTTTCCGTCATGTGCAAAGATGTCTAGGGCGACTTTCTGCCACGGCCTTTCCGGGACCTCACGAAGCATCATAGGCTCCTTCGGCTGGCGGACATCATGTGCTCGACAGGCTAAGCAGTTTGAACGTGATCCCGTATCTGACTAGTCATTCCAGGCCAAACATTAGCTCTCGAGCTCTCGCCACGCAAGCATTGACTCCTAATGACTTCCGTGTATCAGCTCCAGCATGGGTCGTTGCATTGCCTTTGGAACGAGTATACGGTTGCCTTTGAAGATTAGCCCATCCTGTGTGACAAGTTCATCCCGAAAGTTAAAGAAGGGAGTCAACTCCTTGGCAGCTTGTTTTTACTATCGGGCCACCCTTTCAGTATCGTTTCCTTGAGCCGATTACACAGCTCGTCTGCTTCCGTGTGGCGTAGTAGTTGCTGGAAACGCTCCTCTGTGACGGCCAATAGCTGAGTGACATGGACAATGTCTTGGTCTTCTTGCGTTGCGGTCACATCGGAAAGATATGCCCTAGACAGTGGATGTCTAGGTCGTACTTCTGGAGCCGAATGAGCATTCGTTGTAAGCGGCGTGGGACGACGTGCAGTGGTTTATTGGCTATTGATACCAGAGGCTTGTGATCGGTAAATACAGTGGTCCGGCGACCAAAAGTGTAATCGTTGAAACGCTCTACGGCATAAACCAATGCTAGCATCTCCTTTTCAATCTGTGCATAACGGCGCTCGGATTCCGTTAGTGTCCGACTGCGAAAGGGCGGACGTTTAAAAATGGAACTTTTGACCTCAAAGACGTTCTGGCCGTCCACTGTAGTTCGATGAAGAGAGATAAAACCAACTATTGTATGAAAATTCGCGTCAAACGACAACGGAACTGACAAACTCTATGAAATGCCCCCACATTGCTATAGAGAAGCATGTTCACTCAGAAGCAGCGGTAACGGTAAGTGCAGCCGTTACGGAATTTGGTTTGCACTTACTGCGTGAGAGACACGTTCGAATTCATTGAGTGGATATCTGAAATCAACCTTGTTAACAAAAGGATGATATCATTCGATGCCCAGCGACGCCCTCAGGGAAAATGCCTATCCTGATAAATTTATCATGAAGCATTTGAAGGAACGCAATCGAAGGCCACCTAGGAGCATTGCTCCTAAGGGTGATTCTGCAGCTGCTATGTTATCCCGACGCCTGAAAGATGCTGTCGAGAAAACTTATTTCGCGGCCCGCCTGAGAATCGTTTATCACAACATGCCGTTGCCTATAAAACCCTTGAAGGATAGACTGCCGTCGTTGACCCGTTCAACGATGGTTTATCAGTACTCCTTCTCCTGTGGTGCACAATACGTAGGTCACACGACGAGGCGCCTATCTCACAGGATTCGTGAACGCATCCCGGCATGGTTTTACAAAGGCGTATGCATGTTTATTTAGTTTAGTTGGTTTACCATCTTTATCTCTGTCTCAAGTTATTGGTTTTGGTCATTCAAACAGTCCAGAAGTCAATCCCAGCCCGAGTTGACGCTTTTTCCACAACCAGTGTTATGTAAACGTTTGGATCCGATGAGAGTTTAGCGAAAAGAATTCTTCACCCTGGACTGATTTCTGATATTGAATTTGAAATCTTTGCTTTGCTGAAGGCCAGCATTGCCCGTGATTCATTGAATACTTATATTCCTAACTTTGACATTCCAGTTTAATGATTTGACAATTAACAGAAATCAACATAAATTAACTCCAACAAAATACAAAGTATACAAGACACCCTTTTTCTAACGATTTATAACATTATTGCAAACACACTTAATGACCTGGGGAATGTTAGAATTTAGAACAACGGCTGGAACTCATTTGTCAATCCAATATTCAAACCGCTCACCTTAATTGTGATAGTTACTACTTTTATATTCCACCATTGGTATTGGGCCATCCGCATTTTCTCATTTGCAAGTTGCCCAATGTGGATGCACTTCCCCATTTTTCTGGTATGTTATTTTTCGCTGAGGTATCTAGTAACTAGTTCCCCAGTTCTTTCACCCTCACTTCCTTGCATGAATGTTTTGTTTGTCTAACCACCCGGTTGGAGTGGAGGTCCGTTGTCTTCATCTCACCCTTCTTCGCAGCTTTTGTTTCCATTTTTTTGTTTTAGCAGCCCGGAACAGAGCACCCCGCGATTGGACATTGGTATTGTTCAGTCCGCCATAGAGTCTATACGTGCTGAACGCGCTTTTGCGCACCGTCACAACCGGCATCGATTGAGCAGACTTTCCCATGATGCTCAGTGTGACGAATCGTCTCAGAAACAAAAAAGAACCGTCAGTTATGAGGAGCTTCCTGCACCACCCACAACTGCTTCGACTTCATCAGGTTTGTTTGAGAAGCTTTTTGACTACTAATGAGTAGGCGGATTTGGGTATGATTCGGTTTGGTTCATTGCAATTAGGTAAGCTACCAATCCAGCAAAGCACCAGACGCACGTTTCACCCTATTGGGGCTCGTCAGTGGTGCGCATCCATCGGTCCCCTACTGGGGATCGAACCCATGACCGCTAGAGGCTAACGCCAACCAGCCAGCAGCTTATGTCACTGAGCCTTGGTAACGACAGCCTACCAATACGACGATATAGTCTTTTGCCTACATTCTCTTCTTTTACCTCATAGTTAACAGCATATGTCCTTCCTCTTGCTCCACTGAGGCCGGAGTGCTCATGTGTTTTATCTCCAGCTGCTCCACTCATTGTCGTTCTCGCTGCAATTCTGTCTTGAGAGTGACAGCTTCGCCATGAACAAGAGCACTGCTCCCTGGACATGTCCGTTGTACGATATCATCCTGTTTTGCATTCGGATAAATACCTCAAGTGCTGCTCCATTTTCGTTTATGTAGGTTGTCGCCTGCGCTCTGTAACAACACACTGACTGTCTTGCTATTCTATTAACATTTTGTATTTTATGCTCAGATACTTACGCCGACAGTTTGCTGACGTTAAAGTTACTCTAGTTTTTCACGCGTTTGTTTCTACCGTGCGAATGCATTCTCTCTGCTCTCATACATAACCCGGGATTACTCTTATTCGAGCTAGCTCAACTAGCCCAATTAAGTGCACTCAATCTAACTTGCGCCTTCATACTTTTGCCTTCATATCACAACGTTTGCACCCGTCTCGTCGAAACATACGCACAGGACTCTCCAGTTTCTGTGCGCTACAAGAACACCTAGGTCTAAAAAGATAGCTTAATCTGAAGACTGACGGTTCCACAATCATGCCTGCTGATTGCCAAGTGAAGAAGCCAACTGAGACTGAGACTGTGAGACTGTATTTAAGAGCAAGTAGAAAGGTTTCTGTACAACTCTATCTAATTACGAAAAATCAAAATTTACTTGTGAATTATCAGCAGTTGTGTCTGGTCCGTTAATCGTTTATCCGTTTTCGGTTAGGAATTTGTACTAGCGTCATTATTTCCGGACATACAATGTCTTCTTTTGGCACTGTATGTGCATCGTTTCACAAAAGCACAGGTTTCCAAAATAATCCTCGATACGGGTTTTAAAACACTTCACAGAATCGGCCTCTATTAATCCTTCTGGTAGTGTATTCCATAAGTTTACGGTTCTTCGTTCGATACAAAGCTGATGTGATACTTTGTTCATGCTGGGGACCCTGAGTTTGTAACGATGTCCTCGGGTGGTACAGGGTTCTCGCAGGTGAAATATCGGCCGCAGTATGGGGAAGTGATTCAAGTGTAGTACTCGATGGGTCATAATAAGATCAATTCTTAGTCGGTGATAGGATAGTGTGTAGAGTCCGAGCCTTTCACAACGTTTTTCATACGGAAGCTTTCGTAGACTTGGTATCATTCTAGTTGCGATATGCTGTATTTTCTCCAGTTTTTCACTTTCCCATTGGGTTATCGGATGGTAAGCTGGGGCACCGTATTCAAGGATTGGTCTAATGAGCGAGGTGAATAGACGAGGTACGGTTTCTTCGGACCATGTGGAGAAACTGCGTCGTAATGCCCAGAGCATACGAAGTCCCGCACGGACAATTTCTCTGTATTTTCTAGTGATCTTAAATCATGTCGTGAGAGAACTCCTAAGTCTCTGACAGATGTGTTGGGATGGAGCAACTGGCCGTCCAAGGTGTATGATCGAGTGGCTGGACGTCTGGTGATACTGATGAACTCCGACTTGCTTGCGTTAAGAGGGAGTTGCATTTTAGTGGACCACGTTGACAGTCGATCTAAGTCATGCTGGAGGCGAGCGCAGTCGTCCTGGTTCCTAATGATCCTCCAGATTTTCAAATCATCTGCAAACAGGACACATGGTGACTAGATCTGCTACGGAAGATCGTTGATATGAATAAGAAATAATGCTGGCCCAAGTACAGTTCCTTGAGGCACGCCACTGGTCGATGGGAACCATTCTGTTAGATAGTCATTGACCTGTACTTTAAACCTTCGTCCCACAATAAACTCTTGTATCCACTGAAGTAACGTGCCACCGATTCCGTATGTCCTCAGTTTACGAAGGAGTACTTCGTGGTTCACTCTGTCAAACGCCTTACTAAAATCGATGTACACCACGTCAACATCCTTCTGTTCATTGAGAGCTCATACCCACTGGTGGTTTGCGTACATCAAGTTGGTGATGCAGGATCGCCCTTTCGTAAAGCCGTGTTGCGCTGGCGTCAATACGTCCATCGATTCGAAGAACGACAGCAGACACTTTTTCACAACCTTCTCGAGAACTTTGGATAATACCGAAGTCAAACAGATCGGTCTATAGTTCTCTATTTTACTCGGATCACCACCCTTGGGAAGCGGTTTAACTATCGAGCATTTCCAGTCGTTCGGGACGGATCCTTCAGAGAGCGATCTATTGAAAAGGTTTGTCACAACTGGTGAGATGATAATCGATATGGACTTGAGTATTAGTGGGTGAAGTCCGTCTGGCCCGGGGGGCTTTGCACCATTGAGGTTGACGAGTAGCTGATGTACTTCGACTGCATCACATTGTAGGCTGTCGAGCAAGACTTGCGCAACCTGTGCCGGTACTGGAACAGCCGCCGGTTTACTGGAAAATACAGTGAGGAAGTGCGTAGCCAGGGCGTCCGCGCGCTCCGCGCTTGAAATGAGTGTCTTCCCGTCTAAGCTCTCTAAGACCGGTAGGTCGTCTCCAGGTTTCAGTTGACGTTTCAAGTAGGCAAATATTCGCTTGGGTGCAGTTGCGGCTGAGGATGCTAGCTCCTCTTCGAACTGCCGGCGTTTCTTGATCTTTGCGGCGTTACATAAGTTACACTGTTTCTTGTACACCGCGTAATCTTCATCACAACCCGAGCTGATGCATCTATCCCAAAGTTTACGACGTCGTCGCGCTAACTGTCTGTATTCCCTATCAAACCAATGCGGTTTGACAGGTCCGATTTTTGGATACTTAAGGGGAACGAACCGAGTACAGAGCGAGTTAACCTTCCCCTTTATTAATGACCACCACGCCTCAAGTGACGCATCATGTGGTAGTGTCCAATCAGTCTGACTTGCGGCTTGGACGAGTCCGTTGAAGTCCGTCTTCCAATAGTTGAATGTCGGCTTCCGTTGATTGTAATATGGTAACGACAGTTCTAAGCTTGCTACAATAGAGCAGTGGTCACTGTTCGCCAGAGGTTCGATGACTCTGATCTCTTTTAGCTTCTGCTCGCAGCTCGTAAACATTAGGTCCAGACAAGATGCCGAGTACGGAGTTACGCGCGTCGGTTGGATGATATGTTGCGTTGCCCCAATTTCAATAGTCATTTTAACGAATTGAGCCCCAACGTTGCCATGACCGGGAAGAAGTCGAATATCTGGCCAAATTATCTTAGGTAAATTTAGATCCCCCATCAGTAAGAACTGAGGGCGGCTCATGTGCTTCTGTACATGTGGTATCCAATCGCAGCAACGGTTTAATGGGCTCCGGTAGATAACCCCCACTATTAGATCTGCGCGCCTGAGACGGATTGTGCACCACAATTGCTCGCATAAACTATCCTGGCTCCGATAAGTACTGATAAGTTTGCCAGAAAGTGAATATTTTATGTACAACAGAACACCACCGTGAGCCTTTAATTTTCGGTCACATCGGAAACAAGAGTATCCTGACAACACGACTTCTTGGGGTATGATGTCGGAGTTCAGCCATGTCTCTGCAAGTCCTAAAATGTCCGGCCGCTCCGAGACAGCGAAGTGGCACAGTTCGTCACGTTTGTTCATTAGGCTGCACGCGTTGCCGAATGCGACACGGAGGTCCTGGGAGGTACTGCGGGACGTGCCTGGAGGTTGAGCAACCGATTGATACGGGTTCGTACATTCTTTTTGATCACCCGAAAATTTACAACTTGTAAGTCAGGGTCGCCTTCCTCTGTACGGCGTTTGAGCTCAATGACCCGCAGTCTTCAAACGATCCCTGTCCTCGGGTTCCAAATCTCGGCGGATGTGAACTTTTATGCCTTTCAGCCTTGACAGACGAGACAGTATGAGCTGCGGCATATTAGGATTTGCAAAGGTGATCCTCAGAGGTCGACATGACTGATTAGTTTTCTGGCCAAGTCGGATTACTTGTTTAATCGTCACACTGTCCTCGCCCACATCCAAGAGTCTATCGATGAGCCCCTGGAGGAACTCAACATCGTCATCATAACGCATCTGAGGGTTTTCATCTTTTGACTCGGGTACGTGGAAGACCATGAGATTATGACGCCTCAGCGAAATCAGTGATGAACCTGTGGGAGCAGAACTAGAGGCGCTTAACTGATTGGGTAGTTGTTTATCAGCAGGTGACATCTGAACTCGATTACGTGGGCCCTTGCGCTTTTGACTGGTACATGGATCTCCGGTGTTCAGAAGTTCACAGACAGGCTCTGAGAAATTCACGGACCGATCAGTGAAGCGGCATTTCGTAGCTTCTGAGTCTGAGTCTTCCATCGGTGGGAAACATTGAACCTGGGGTTCGGCCGGGGTCGAAGACGCTGGTGGTGGTGCAGATCGCAGAGTGACAATAGGAGGCGAGGTGACAGAGGTACTTTCACGAGGGCGTTTGATCCCACGTGGTGAACGGTTTGTTTCTATCTGAAAGAGAGATTTTCCGTAGCTGTTTGCGGTCGCTGCGTATTCTGATGTCTTGTACCGCGACATTTATCACATTTAACTTGAAAAAACCGATGTCGGATGTCGAGCGATTTTCGAAACACGTCAACGGATAAGCCAATGCACGAAATATGGAACAAAACATCACAGCTGAAGCATCGAAGTGCATGAGCCCTATTTCCCACAACTTTCGAACACGAACCACAAGTAGCTTGAGACGGCATCACAAGCTAGAGCAAATCCAAGATG